TTAGAGGTAAATCTCAAATTTGAACGCAAACTATGGTGCAGATCATCTAAAGCTCGAAATAAATTAACCAACTTTCAAACCCCTAAGGCTTTTCTATTAGATGATATAGAAAAACTAATCCATAAATAATAATGATAGAATAGATGATGCAGAACAAAAGTTACGGTTTAGATTTTTTAGTCAACTAAAAAAGTCATGAGTTTTAGGGATTTGAAAAGTGATAGTTTTCTTATGTTTTCTTAAGTTTCCTTAAGAAAAATAGAAAATTTCGGACACACAGGTTGTGTAACTTTCGTGGGTAACAATCCGTTATCCAATAAATCGCATGTAATTTTCATGAGCGTTTCATTATGCCTCGACCACCTAAAAGAAAAGCAGGCAGATTTATTAGAGGTAAACTTGATTTTATCAATACTAATACAGACGCAGGCACATTGGAGATAATGGAGATGGGATTGGGAGACGATTTATTAAGCGAACAATTTTACTTTATTCGAAATTTGGACAAGTAATATAATTTTTATCATAAATCCTTATTGTGATTTCAGAACATTTTATTGGGTGAATGTCATGTGATTGTTAATGATCTGCAGAACAAAATTTCGGACTGTTCGGTCTTTAGATGATTCGCACCATATAGGAGTTTACTTGGACAGTCACAATGTGACCGATAATTTAAAAACAGTCTCTCGTTACACCATGAATATAAGGCGTGTTAATGAAACAATAAAAAAAAAAGACGGCAATGAGTGAATTTTTATGACAATCTACTGCTTTGGCATCTTTATTACAAAATACCTTATTCTCATCCTATAACCGTCTTTTATTCTGTTTCCAAAAATTGTGAATGATCGATACGTTACACATGACCCTGCCGTTGAGTTTGACTTACGGGTAATACTATGTGATTAGTAATCATAAATTTGCCCAATACAATAAACGTAAACAACAACGGTTTGCGTTGTTTGTAAAGCAGGTGCAAATATACTAATACTTCTTTATACTCCACATAATATAAAGTGGGAATGTTCATTATATAGAAACAATCCGTGAAAACTAATTAGTTGTTAAGATTGGTGTTGTATTCTCGTTACCATGCATATGATTGATGTTATGTAACTCTTATGTAATTATCGGGGAAATGTCTTAATTAGCTAATTGGTACATCGGTACGTGGCGATAAAGTTTAACCTTCTTTTTATACAACTTAATCAACATGTCAATTGTATATCGATATTATAGCGTATAAAAGGTATCTCCTACCTTCTCCCGTTGGTCTATATTCTCAACATGTCAATGTTAACCACTCTGATTTTGTCACTCTCTTTCTCGGATTTTCTGATTCTCCTTGCATCTTTCCTTATCATCTACGTCACTAGATTCTATTTTTTATATTTCACTCGTGACAATCCTCTTCCTGGTCCACTTCCACTGCCTATAGTAGGCAATCTCATACAATTACTTTCTGCTAAAGACACAAATAGATGGGCGTTAGAATCCCAAGCTAAATATGGCGATATATGGGAAGTATATGCCGGCAGAGAAAGGCAAATCTGGCTGGCTCGAGCCGATTTGGTGGATAATATACTGAACTCGTCAAAAGACAATAAATACTTTATCAAAACCCCGCAAAACACTGGACTCGATTCAATAGGATTGTCATCAAATGGGTTGGTGTTTAATCGAAATAGAGCCAAGTGGTTCTTCAACAGAAGAATTTTTGCTCAGGCTTTGGCCAGTCCAAAATTCTCCAAGCAATCCGCAAAGTGGATTCAACAGATATTTTCTAATATGGAAGGATATCTAATGGAATTGCGTTTCGACGAAAAAGATTTCAATTTTGCTGATTGGATGTCTAGATTTACCGCAGATATGACCTTTCTTATAGCAATGAACAAACACGCTTGCACGATGGCATCATTATATAATTCTTATGCTCCATCCAATCCAGCTCCATATCCTCAAAAAGTTGTTAGTCAGGCAGAAGCATTTATTACTTCTCTGCAAAAGTTTGTCGGTACGGTAAGCTACTTCTTCTTCATGCCCGAAATAGTCCGCAACAAGACACCCTTTGGACGCAAACAAACTAAAATTCATATGGACAATCTGAACTGGTTGCATAACACCCTGCTCGAGATTATCCAAGAAAAAAGAAAAGAGATTGAGAATGTTGCTGACAAGACCCAATTGAATTCCGATTTTTTGACATTGATGATTACTGCGAATACACCAAAAGATATAACACAAAACCTTGGAAACACGACCATCGAGGAGCCATTGACGAATGAGGATATCAAAGCTAGTCTGATAGAAATGTTGAGTGGTGGCATTGATACAGTAAGTAAAGAAATATATAATAATGGTGGATGTCGAGAGTAAGTAGTATGTGAGTAGATAATGACGCCATACAAAACAATTTACAGACGGCGAATCTTAGCTGTTACATAGTCTACTTTGTAATTAAGCATCCAAAAGTCAAAGCACGTCTTCGACAAGAATTTGAGACGGTTCTCGGAACGGATCTTTCACGTCCCATTAAATATGAGGATTTGAATAAATTGGTGTATACTGACGCTGTTATCAAAGAGGCAGCGCGATTAATGCCGCCCTTTTCTTTAAATCTCCGAACGCCTGAGGAAGATGATGTGATTGGTGGATATCCTATCAAGGTAATATAAAAACTGATCGTTGTGTTTTGACGAGCTTAGCACTTAATGCAATTTCTATAAAAATAACATATAGAAAGGCGAACAAGTAGTGATTTGTAACCTGGGAATTCACCGAAACTCAAAGCACTGGTCTAACTCAGAAACGTTCGACCCCGACCGGTTTCTGGAACCCAAAAATCTTGATATTGCAAAAAACTCGTTTATGATGTTTGGAGGCGGCGTGCGTACATGTCCTGGTAGGCAGTTGGCGATGACAGAACTAAAGATTATCATTGCTATGATTTTTCGTAAATATGACCCTGAATTGGCCACGCCGGATACTAAACCACAGTGCAAGATTGAAGCTGTGAATCGATGTTACGAGCTGATGTTGAGATTTAAACCAAAAAAAGAAAATACTGATTAAAAAAAAGAATATAATTAAGATCGTAAACTGTATGTAGTGTATAATTGAGCGGGTATTTTAGATAAGCATTGATTTTGGGTATGTTAAGAATTTGTGTAAGCCTTATTACTGTATTATTATCAGTAAGTGTAACAAATACGTGAACACGAGCCTGTCTTAGATTATCTGATAATCATGATCGGGGCTGTCTTACACAAAGGACCATGTTAGCATTACAAACTATTTGGCATAATCGAATTTAACTAATTTAGAATGGGGTCTAACCCCAAAGATGATAAGACTTGACTTTTATAGTAATCTACCTCATAGCACAATGCTATTTGCGGTCTGGGTATGCGCGTTTAGGTTTAGGATGCCCGCACATTTGGTTGAAAGCAGAGAATGTATGTATCATATTCATTGCTAAAGTGTCAGACACTTAACAATTATGTAAACAGCGTGACTATGAACATATATAGGTTCGCAGCATTTCCATCAACATATTTTACATTCGCAATAACAATAAACCCTTGTTAACCACTGTGACCTGGATCTCTTTTAATCACCGAGTGTCACAAGAATTTATCTTTTTAGTATAGAAAATTACGTTCCATCCATACCATCTATGTATCACTGCCCGCCCCATGTCTGTTATTAATTTGGGACACTAACCTTTTATATATGAAATACGTATCACTTCGACTTTTTCTCACAAGTCGCTGGATATCTGCCTCTCTGCGCAACCGAGTAATTCCGCGGTAGTGTACATAGAACACGTCAGCACATTAATAAAAGACCATCCTATCGACATCTGTGTTCATAAAACATATAAGTAATCAAATATGCAACGAGAAGAACAGCAACAACCACAGCAACAGCAACAGCAGCAGCAACAGCAGCAGCAACAACCACAATTACAACCACAACCACAGCAACAACCACTATCGCTACCACAGCCACAACCACAACCACAACCACAACCACCACCGAAACAAGAACAGCAACAAGAACAGCAACAAGCGCAACAACTGCCGCAACAACCACAACAACCGCAACAGCAGCAGCAATTACAGCAACCACCACCACCACCAGCACCATCACAGCAACAACAACAACCACCCCCACAGCAACAGCCATTAACTACAGTCAAACAGACTGATGACTCGACGTCAATCATTCCACAAAAGAGGCCGGCTTCTCCGACAAGAGATGGAACTCCCTTATCCTCTGCACTTAGTATTAATACTAATCCTTACCAACTGCCTGCCCCTCCCGGCAAACACTCTCGATCGCCTCGATCAACAACCAGGAGCGTGCCCGCTTTTCTTAACAAATTGTACAAGTAAGTGGGCGAGGGTGCACATAAAATAGTGAATAGATATTCTGTTTTCCAATAGTCGTTGTTGCAATCCTTGCCAAAATTTTAAACAAGTTCGCTGTATGTTTTGTTCTTTACATAATATTAACTGCATGTCCTTGTTGAATTGCAATTGCTTTCCTCCCAATGTATCACCTTATCTTACATAGCGTTCACACTTAACGCTCACGCTTTCATTCTGTCATTGTTTTTTTCATTAGTATGGTCAATGATCCTCAATCGAATGACTTGATTCACTGGTCAGAAAGCGGCAATTCATTCTTAATTACACGACCGCAGGATTTTGCTCGCGTAGTCTTGCCTCGCTTTTTCAAACACAACAATTTTAGTAGTTTTGTGAGGCAGCTCAACATGTACGGATTTCACAAAATACCTCATTTGCAACAAGGAGTATTACAGGCTGACATGCAATCAGAGCAATCAGAGTTTAGCAATCCCAACTTTTTGAGAAATCAACAAGACCTTTTATACTTTGTCCAACGAAAGAAAGGGAAAGACACGGAGAATGGCAAAGATCCAAATGAAATAGATTTAAACCACATACTAAGCGAAATTGCATCCATCAAAAAACATCAATTGACTATAAGCAGCGATCTCAAACATATTCAGCAGGATAATCAACTACTCTGGCAAGAGACAATAACTGCAAGAGAACGACATCGCAGGCAACAGGAAACAATTGATAAAATTTTACGGTTTTTGGCTTCTGTTTTCTCGGTCGATAAAAAGAGAGCATTAATTCCCAAGAAACGAAGATTGTTACTCAAGGACGCAATTAGTCAGGAAGAAAGTACAGACGCGCCAACAGAAACAACTGAATTTGATCCAAATGCATGGGAGCTCGACTTTAACAATAGTGGTAAGAACTTTTTGGCATATGTACAACTCATGCTTGTCATATCAATCTTTCTCGATTATTAAAATTTTTTTTCACTTCTGTTGCTATCGTTTAACATTACCTTTTCCACTACCCTTCTACTACAAGACACCACAAGTGATCTGTCAAATGATTTTGCAGTACAACCGCAGATGCCTCAGTTTGACTTTTTCAGTACTTTTGGCTCGACGCCCAATGTTCCCGAAACTGAGGTGAACACAGACTTTCTTAATGCATCGGCGAACGCATTGATATCGGCCAACCCTTCGTTGCTAGAGACAACTACAAACGACATTAACAATGTAGATAACGCAATACATGATATAGAACATCGAATCAACACAGTCGATAATAATCTTGATTTTGTGGCTTCTTCACTCGGTTTCGATCCTGACACTGGCGAAATCGACTTGGATGATGATGATGAGAATGGGAATGACTTCTCATATTACGGTGCGAACTTACTTAATGCTGCAACTGATCAGGATAAGCAAATGCTGTTCAATCTCATAAGAGAGAAAAAAATAAATTAACCGTTTTATTAATTGAAGGTATCGGTATCGATAAAGTAAACAATATGCTAAACTCTACGTGACGATTTAGGGAGAGATTATGAGTAAAAGACATACTAAAGTCTATACAAAGTTAAAAGGAATGTGTCACGTAAAGTTAATTACGAACTTTTATAAATAAACACGCATCATGTAATAATCCAGATGGAAAATATAAACGCGGACTATGTTGACAATCACTGTATAAAAAATAAATAATTAACTAGGAACCGATCGTTGTTAGATCTGTCAGAGAAACACTGGATTACAGCAAGACAACAAGAATCGGGAACAATTTGCGCGCACTTTTGGCGAGATCAATTGATGTCCTATATCGTGTATTTGTAGCGAATATATGCTCTGCCTAATTAATTGAGAATTAGCATACTGTGAAAATATGCAAGTATAAATTAGACAGATCCTGGGCTTGTTGGTCAATAACGATGAAGCAGTTTTCACATATTTATAATAATGTGAGAAAAGTCCTGATAAGTTCACTGTAATTGCTTTACAAAAAATAAGACTGATTTTGTCTACGGATGGGAATTCATTGATGGGACAATTCAATACTAAAAGACAAGTTTTATACTGGCTGGCAGGCGCGTTCATAACCTAACAAGAAGGAAGATGATTTTACATTCAATACATAGTTAAAATCATTACAGAAAGACGTTCCAATGCTTAAAATCTTGAGATTGCCCTTTTGGGTTAAAAGAAATTTTAGTACATACCACCGATCATTGCATTTTTCATAGATAAACCTCTGAAACGGACAAATTGGGACCACATGAGACGTCCAATATAGCGTGTCGTGATGAACAGCATAATAAGAATCACTAAAACATAATTTTCCACCTCTGTGTCTTCTCAAAAATGCTGCCAAAAACTCGACACAATGGCATCCGCACGCGCCAGTAAATTACTTGTTATGGTATTTAGCATCTTTGAGGGAAGGACGTAAATTCTAACACGAATAAACGGTCTCGGGTAAACGGTCGGCAATTTTGCTCACAAAATATCACATTAGTATTCAGTGGCTTCACAATTACACAAATCTTACACGGATTTTATTAGGTGTCTCGTTACATATTTGCGAATCGCCCAACAATAGTGTTCCAACGCTAAGAGCAAAAAGTTGTCAACACGCTAACAAGATGACGTGTTATGAACAACGCGCAATAAATAACATACCCTTATCGTGGGGTAACCTCCCTTTTGTTTCTTGTATATATAAATCATATGCCCAAGACTGTGATAAAGGACGGTTAGCATTAAATATAAAAACATTAACTCTATTACAAACTGGTTGCATTACCTGGTACTTGATCTCCCGGAATAAAATGCCGCTCCACGCCATCTTCTGTAATAACAGCAAGACGAATGCAACCTCCAGATGATCCATCTCTACCAATTGCAAGTGCAATAGCTATATAGGGGAGAGAAATCAGAACGAAAAGTGAGCAAGAGTGTATAGTGGAAAAAAAAAAGACATAGATTTTAAACGTACCAGTCTTGACTAATTCTATTGTTTCTTCCTTGGTCATGTTTGGTCTAAATGCGGTATCAAGATAACCATAGAGATATGTAGAACCACTACCTACGTAACCATATAAACGGGTAATCAGTATATTCTGCTGTAATGAACCAAGCGAGGGGGGACAAAATGAATCTAATGATTAGGACGTGATTCGTAAAGCATTGTATAAAGGTGATGTAATCATCATCCACATTCTTGATTAAAGGCTTCTTTGTATGATCCATCGCCCAATCTCCCCCCATTTCATTTGCCAACATCACACTTACCTGCTGTAGCATATGGCAATTTGTGCAATGATCCTCCTATCGGTATGCCGTAAACGGAACCACCAGCATACTTATCCCATCCAGCACAAATTATCCCTGCCGATAACATTTCCTTGTTCTTATAGCAGAGTTCCTGGAACAACGCTGCTGCCACACGGACAGGAGGCTCCTCTCCATGTTGTATACTATTTAATTGAAAACGTTCAATCGTCGAGACAAAACGATACAGGCATCAAATATGCTTGATATGTCAGACCGCTTTCTATATGTATACAAGAACACTTACGCGTATAGTTGTAGATAATAGGTGACGAGATTAGCAACAGCTTGCGTATCAGCTGCACTGCCAGACCGGCAGCAGTATATCCTATCACTAACGTAGGTCAACTTATCCGTAACCCTATTGACAACATATGCGCCCCCCATCGACGTGCGTGAATCCGCTCCAATGATCACACCTCCATCAAAGCCAACAGCTACAAGAGTGGTCTAATAGAACATGATAGAAATCGATTAGTTGGTAAATCTACCGTTATTTATTGAACAAATGCAGCTCTGAACACTGTTCTTACGCTCTTCTCTATCATTCATTCTAATACTCACTCCTAAGCCGATTTCTCCCGGTTTCAGACCTAATTCCGTTTCCATGTTGTCAATCAAGCTTTCCACCCGCATACTCGCAATTTTTAAAAAACGGATACGTAAGCTTGTGTTACTACGGATAGATCGATCGACAAACAAACACCTGACCAGAAGAATGTGAGGCTAATTGAGAGGGCTTAATACCCTCCGCACATTGCATTGTTTAAACACTGATCCCAAAGTATTAATAGATAGCCCATTTGTATCGACAGTTTTAAAGAAACTGTCATTACGAAGCTGGCCGCACAGATTAACAACTTTATCTTGTCGTCTTTGATGACGTCATGTTAAAATGTACACTTTTAGAACGTTGATTGGTGCATTTCATTGACAAAAATTTTAAATGTTACGTTTGAAGCAAAGCATTCTTTCGATATCAACGGTACATATTAAACGCAGACTATTATCGACAATGACAAAAGTAAGCTTTTGCAAGTCAGAGCGTCATTAATTACTTTTATTTTTATTGTAATATAATAATTCATCGCTCGATCTCGCGTAATAGGTGATTGGAACTCATGATGGCCAGTTTCATTGGTATCAACTAATTCTCTCCACCCTATGTCTGGATTACACATGACAATAGTCTATAATCTGTATAATTTTGTTGTAGCGATGAGGCATTGGCAGTGTTCATGTTGAAACGAACAGCTGCTTTCAAGGAATCGAGTAATGTCACAAAATGATATCATTGATTTCCCCCATCGTAAAGTAATGTTTACGATTTTCTCCTCTTAATAGATGTAGTCAGAACTCGTGATCCAGAACAGTTGGCCAAATGTGATGTAATCGTCGACGTGGGCGGAGTCTATGATCCAGCCACGATGAGGTTCGACCATCATCAGGTAAAAAAAAAAAAAGAATCCCCCCGTTGAGTATACCGAGTTGGTCAATCATCCTTACAAAATATTTATGCCATCTAGAGAGGGTTTTCCGAGACTTTTAACGCCAACCGCTCGATAAAACTCAGTAGTGCTGGGCTAATATACAAGTGAGTACTGTCAACATCTTGGTTTGCGTAGCAGTTTGGATGAATTCTCATTTGCAGGAATCATTTACTGATCTTGTCGTTTCGCTTAGACATTTTGGCAAGGAAATTATTGCCAGTCAATTAGGACTAGAAGTAACCGATTCCAAAGTTGCAATACTGTATGATAAAATATACGAAGTACGTCAGTCACTACTTTCTTCGAATTCATAGTAATTTACAAGTCGTCTGATGATTCTTTTCTTGAATAGGATTTCATAGAAGCTCTAGATGGTAACTATTTACCCATATGAACGATATATCTCGCACTATGTTAATGACTTTTGAACAAATAGCGGTCGACAATGGAATCAATCAATATCCACGCGAAATCCCTGCTATGTACAAGGAGACTACGACATTGCCATCTCGAGTAGCAACATTGAATCCATGGTGGAATCAAAAAGACGTTGACGTGAACGTATGTATTGTATGTAATGTTTATCCGGCTAATCACATCACTGATCGATACAACGTTTGTCATTTTTCTTGTCCTTTTAGAAACAATTCACGAAAGCCAGCGAGTTGGCTGGATCAGTGTTGGTTGACAAGATAGAATACTTGGGAAAAGCTTGGTTTCCGGCTAGAGAAATTGTACTAAAGGCATTCGAAGAAAGATTCGAGTTTGACAAACTTGGGAGAATAATGGTCTTAGAACAATACTGTCCATGGAAGGTAAACAGGGTTGTCAAAGTCAAACTGCTTGTTACAGCATATTAATTTCGCCTTTCGTATAGGATCATTTATTCAATATTGAAGAAGAGACCAAGGTCACATCCGATACTCAACCATTATATATTATATACCCTAACCCAAACTCTTGGAGGGTACAGGCAGTTCCTGTCTCATTAGATTTGTTCGACTCTAGGAAACCACTTCCCGAAGCGTGCGTACATTTGCGTTATGTTATTGTCACTATTGTTATGGTTGCTGGTTGCTGGTTGCTTACTTGATAAGACTAAAATATTTTTCCTTTTTTTTTTCTTGTAGATGGCGTGGTCTTCGTGATTCGGAACTATCGGAAAGAGCAGGAGTAAAGGTATTGTTTGTTGAATTGCTGTTAATAGACCATACGATTAGTATATTAATACACACATGTCATCATGTACGCTATTGTAGGGCTGCGTATTTGTTCATATGAGCGGGTAAGTATAATGTGGACAATATACTATTATGTGTTTTTTTTGACTAACTACCATCTCCAATAGTTTTACTGGGGGAAACCTAACTCGAGAAGGAGTATTGGAAATGACAAAAAAGGCACTGGAGATTGAATAAGGACAAGAGTGACCACTAGAAACAATTTGGGTGTTATGAATCAAGCATTTTTTAATACTAATAGCTGTGTTATTATGTACATGATTATTTGGTAGTCAACTTTGTATATATTGACCAGTCGTATATTACAAATCCACATAACTCGTTGCTCAATCACAATGTTTATATAACTTTTACCAATTACCGATATCACTTAAACAGGAAATTCGTCCTGTGGCATTGATTTTTTGCATAGCTTTGCGATTAATCCTGACAACTGAACCAAACTCTGAACACCGTCAAGAATTCTCATATGAGTAAACCCGATCTCCTATTGAAAAGATAGAGACGATCAATACAAATAAAAACCAATTGTAATGTCCATCACAAAACCACGCCATTGACACCCCCACCCCCACTACCTCTTACCTTTAACACCTCCAACTTTAAATGCTCATCAATATCGGAATAGAATTTTACCACTCTAAATAAAGTGCTAACAAGATCGAGCGCACTGTACCCTTGCTTCCATAAGAATGTCAGGTCCTCTATAGCAGGATCAACTTCACCTTTGATACAATTATCAATAATTTTTTTGACAAGGACGGGATGAGGTTGATCACAGACTTTAAAGACATTATCCGAATTCACAAAGCGAAATCCAGAAACTGTACTCTGCAAATTACTGATGGCCTGACGCATATCGCCTTCAGCCGTAAAAACAATCGCATTCAAACCGTCATCACTATATTCGACATTCTCGAACGAGCAGATTTCTTCGAGACGCTTGCGTATTTGATCATCGGAAAGACGTGCATAACGCAAGATGGCACAACGAGATTGAATTGCTTCGATTATTTTGGATGAAGTGTTGCAAGCGTAAGCAAAGCGTGTGGTTTGAGAGTATATTTCCATTGTTCGACGAAGAGCTTGTTGCGCAGCAGACGTCATGCTGATGGAATATTGTGAGCAAAACGTAATGGAAATGAAACGACATGCGCGCGCGCGCGCGTCAAGTGTTGTCTGTTACCTGTCGGCTTCATCGAGTATTATAATCTTGTGTTTTCCAGGCGGGAGAGTGACTTTTTTCTGCGCAAACGTCTTTATTCTGTTTCTAACTACGTCTATTCCCCTGCAGAAAACCAAGTTGAGAGTCAATGACCTTTGTACGAATACATCAAGTCTTATTGTTACGTATTACGTCTACCTGTCATCGGATGCGTTTAGTTCCAATACGGCATCCTTTACGCTATCGCCCAATAACTCGTAAGCCAGGCATTGGACGCTAGTCGTCTTGCCGATTCCAGGACTACCCTATCCGAAAAAGTCCTATACATCAATGATTGTTTCCAAATACCAAGCGAGGATATATGTCAAGACACGCGTCGTATGCGTCAACTGATTCGAAACTTACGGCTAGTATCATATGCGGCATGTTACCCTCCTTTGCGATAATTTGGAGTCTCGACACAGTCTCCTCGTTGCCAACAATGTCCTTGAGAAGACGAGGTCGATATTTTTCCACCCTTTAAGAAAGCCAAAGACATTAGACGCGTCGTAAAGCCAGAAACCACAATGATATGCAAACTAACCATGGCAATTCGCGTGAGTCTATATTCCCTTTGTATTGGGGAACGGCCGATATTGAAGTTTCAGCAGGTGACATGTTTGTAGTAGTAGATTGGCTTATTTACCTTTACTGCTTATCTGTGTTTCAGACGTGTAGTTCGTAATCAACACACAAACATTCGGAATGTGGTACTCCCCCAAAAAAAAAAAAAAAACGCCAAACGTCTGCGCTAAATTACACAATTTTCGTCGGATAAAACTTGTAGATTGCGTAATCGCATATCCTAAAAGACCAAAAATGGTACTCTAAATGAACCATTGCAAAAATTACAGTTCCACATGGTTTGGTGATCGATAATCAATCTTGCTTTTTTTCATTTCCTTGTCCACTTGCCCCGCTTCTACCACCTGCCTCTTATTATCATACGTGCTATTTTGTTAGGGGTCAAATTGCATGTCGCAAAGTGATATTGATAATCTCCACGATATCACCTCGCCTATCTGTGATGATCTCAAAAAGTAGATGCTTTAGACATAAAAGGAAGGTCTCTTGTGAACACTGATTGTAATTGAACCGTATTGTTGTTTTTTTGTACAAGGGAAAAATTAGGCGGGCAGATACAAACGATATTATTTGTCGTTCACGAAAATTAATTAGATTACGCCCTCTCGCTTAATTATATAAATTGATGGTTAGCCCGTTTGATTATCACCAGCGACGCTTGCAAAAAAAAAAAAAAAAAGATATACACCACCCCCAGTAGTTTAACAACCAAAAGAAAAAGTCCCTTCGAACTAGTCATCAATAATAATGGGTGAACACGAACTGGCCCTGAGAATTTCGAACGTAGTCGCTTACCTGGCCGTACTTGGCGTAAACTCGCTACTCATCAAGGATTGTTTGAGTGGCGGCGGAAATAATGATGGCGATGGCGATGGTCCCTCACTGAACCTATTGACAAATGATACCGACTCGCATCAAAAGCCCGATACATACCTGTCTCCTCCAGAATATGCCGAATCTATTTGGGGACTCATTTACTTGTTGTTGGGAGGATTCGTCATTTATCAATGGTTTAATCCAGCCAAGGACGCTGTCATCGAAGGCATCGGATGGGATCATGTTATCGCTAGTGTATTGAATATCAGTTTCGTGTTGGTGTGGGTAAGTGCACGTCCCATGTCCATGTCCATGTCCATGTCAATGTCAAATTTTTTGACGGGTCATTTGTTTGTTTGTTAAAAACTATGAGAAATTACCCACGTTCATAATAAACAACACTCTTTTTTTTTTCTCCACTAATTCTAACCCAAATTATTTTATTTTTTACCAGGTTTACACAGACCTCCCCATCGTCAATAGCATATTATCGGTCTGCTTGCTGGTACTCTTGTCCAAAATATATCACAACATCATATATTATCCTCCCAAGAATATTTTCGACCGTCTCTTCATTCATTGGTCGTTCACCATCTACCTGAGTTGGATAACCATCGAAACCGTCAACAATATATGGATCGCCGTACCACTTTTGGACACTGTCCTCTTTTCCACCATCATGGTTGTAATCTACGGTGTCATCGGACTGCACTTTGTTGACTATTACCATAGACAGGATGTCGTGTACTCTGGCACTCTTGTTTGGGGACTGGTCTCCATCGCAAAGAAAAATCAGGACGTGAAGGCCCTCTTGATTTCGGCTTCAATCGCCTCTGGTTTGATAATCAGTGGCATCATTAGAGTTTGGGTGCATAAAATTGCGGCTTGGTACAGGTTGCGGGATCAGAGATTGGGAGAGAGAGATCCTTTGTTGAGAAGCCCTTAAAAAAACAATATGAAAATTCACTGAACGATCTGAACAAATTGTTGAAGATCTTTTTGAACCAAACAAACGGCGGCTGTATAAAGGGGTATTATATATATACTGTGTAGTTCACGTTGCGTTGTAACTATTTTTTTTTCTTTACATATTTATTAAATGCGATATGACTTGTCAGCATGTGTATCTACTTTCAATCCGAATAAAATGTTCAATTCTTTGTTCAAAATCTTTTCGCTTTAAAACAATATAATGTATTTTTACAACCTTTTATTTCTTTGTCATTGGGTTTCAGCAATTGTCACAGACAATTCTGCTTATGAGAGAGAGTATTATGATATACAGATGAGTGGTAAATGGCAATTCGTGACTAAATTGCTATAATGCTAGGAAAGGGAAATAGAAAAAAAGAACGGTAAATGCAGTCAGAAATACTAAAAAAAAATATACACAGTAGGGGGGATAAAAAAATTAAAAGCCTTTAAAGTATTTGACGATGGAATTCGTTGTGACAATCAATATCACAGGTCAAACCAAGAAGAAAAAAGAGGAAATTAATATCTATAAGGACATGTTGAAAAGCTAAGTTATTTGACTTATATATATATATATATATATGTATGTTATTGTTAATATAGTCCATTAGTCTGTTTGATCATATAGCTCCCAATGCCTCTTATAGTCCGTTGAGACCCACAGATACAAAAGCTTGCGGACCACGCAGTCCCAGATGACTGTACAGCCGTCAATGAATCATCAGTCAATCCCGACGACTCTGACTTGCATATTGATCCATCGACGTTTCTTTCGCGATCCGACAGAGCTTCTCGTAAGTATCTTCACTAATTCACCTGCGTCACTTTTTTTTTTCCACCCAATAAATCATAAACTTATTGACTTCGACGATATATGTACGATCCGATTAATAGCGATGATCTCAGACCAAGCAACTTGACAACGTTATCGCTGACTCCGCACTCGTCATCAACGACTTTCACCATTCCATTCTTTCCAATGAACCCAACCGGTATTCCTTTATCCCAATCACTAAATTGCTTGGTAGACTTGAACCATGCGTCGATTCTGTCGAAACAATCTTTATGTCCGACAACCCACACAACCATGAAATATCCAAGATCCAACTGAGACTCGAACCGGGTTCGATGTTGATTCGTCACATGAGCAGTGAATAGTTGTTGATAGTATCGATCGTGACGATCGCGAAAGGCATGAACATACGCCCGAATAGCGGAAATGAGGGCATCACTGGGTGGTTGGAAGAGCAAGAGCTTGAGGGGAGCGTCGTGACCTATCTTGCGGAGTTTGATCACCTTTGTTGCGGTCGGTTCTCTTTCGTCCAATGATTCTATCTGCGCAGTCAAGTTGTTAAAGGTTCTTATCAAAGAGTCTTGTATCAAATTCCGTTTTCCGTGCGGTGTGTTTATTTCCCATCCGGCTACTTGACATGTTTCCATTCGATTGTACATTAGGAATGGGTATGTATACGTAAGTTGACTATGCGGAAGCTTAAAGTATATTTTTAGTTCTTGTAGGTTGGTTGATTTCTGTAGTATTGAGAGAACTGATGATTCAAAGGTGTAATGGCAGGTGCGCTGACAGAACGGATTGTACAGCATCCAGTCGAGAAGTGTTATCGAGACTGAGAGACGGTTGATGTAAGAGAACATGGAGCCAGTGGACGAGGCTAGTTTTGTGAATTGTGTTATTGACGAGAGGTCCAAGTGATTGTACCATACTTTTCGAGCTATATTACACCTGTAAAGATAGTAAAGAAGGTAAATATCGATGAGATGAATGTGAACTCTGTTTCCTATATGATATACCTTTTTTATATATGTATATATACTATAAAAATATATAACAGGGTTTTCTAATAATATGTACATAACAATGCTGCACGTATAAAGTAATCATCACTCCTATTCGCTGTTGTGTCTGCAGATGAACGTGCGTACTGGTCAATTACATGCTGAAAAGCGTTTTCCCTTGTACAAGTTAACTTATTAAAAAGGATTACTAAAAAGTAAAGTTATCAATAGAATGTTCTTAAATGGGTATACTTCAATCAATGACAAATATATACTAGGAAAGTGGGGGGAGTAAACTGCGTCTCAACCCAGATGGGTCAACAGAATAAAGAAAAAAGGTTACAGTTACGGGGGAGAAAGAAGGGGTGGACGTTGTTGTTGTTGTTGTTGTTGTTGTTGTTGTTGTTGGTGTTGTTGTTGTTGATGTTGTTGTTGTCGTCGTTTGTATGGTATGGGTTGGTTGGTTATATCGAGCAAGTAATGTGGAAATATCAAGTCTATTATGCCTATATCGGATGCGGAGGGTTCGTAAAGTCTATAAACAACATTTTTATATTTTACTTACCACCACTTGTTCACTCTGGCACATACGAGAATAGTCGGAATCAAATCCGACATGTCTTCTCTGCCTAGACTCTCCAGTATGTATATAATCAGTTCTGGAGGTAGCGTCGGTAATAAAAGTCCACCCATTGCATTTAGCCTGTTACCATTAAATGGGCTGTTATAAGCACTTATTGTGTTATATGTACTAGTTCCGTTGAAAGTAACAACTCTGTACAATTTCATGGCCATGTTTCCATTCATCTCTGTTCTTTTCCTTCTCGTTAGCTTGTAACTTTGTTCATGTGTCGATGAGCGCTCGATAGAGTAAAATCCAAATATGTCATCAGCGATCTCTTTCCGGAATGGAAAGTAAGCCACTAATTGATCCAATGGATGGTATTTCTCTAAATGTTCTGCTGGACCAGAGACGTAGAGACGGAAATCAAATTCATCTTCGTTTACATGAAACACTCTACAATTAGGAAACTTTCTCTTTCTTGTCCATCGTTTCTCTCTCTCTCCACATACCACAACCCGTTCTCTCTCTCCGCAATTCAGACACTTGGATATGTCATGTGTTTTATGGAACATAATTCTCCTCAAGCTCCCCTCTTTCTCCAGACTTTTATAATATTTTATGACAGATGCACCCCATTCGGGAGTGAATAGAGCGAGGAGAGGAGACTTGTCCTCGTCCATTATCCATTGATTAAGGAGAGAGTGGTTCTGCTTGATGTGGTCCGAGTGGGTAGAACGATATGCAGGCCATTTGACATGGATGACAGCAACGTGTGTGGAGATGTTTATGAAAAAACGTTTATAATCTGAAAGTGAGACGTCTGACATTTCTGTGGAGAGAGGAAGGGGTTTGGAAAGGTGGCGGAAGAGTGGTTGGACTTTGTTATTTTCTGGGAAACGGAGAACCGGGGATGGGGGGAGGGAGGAGGTCGAGGGAAGGGAAAAGAACTTTTTTTGGAGAGGATAAAATGGCGAGATGAAGCAATATTTATAGATTTTCACTAAATGTTATGTAATTGTAAACAGTCGGAGGGGGTTAATAATAAACATAGACAACACGTACATTTTGTCATATAAACGGGTATGCGAAAAGAAAGACTTTCATTCAACTTGCCATAAATATATACCATTTCTTAACAAATGTCACAATAAATGGTGGAGCATACAATAATTTATTATATACATTATAATACATAAACAATCATATAAATTATTACAATTGAAAGCACCTCTAATTCTCGCTGTCATGTCCCATAGACTTTTAAGAATAGCAGTATGTGTGATCTTAATAGAAATGATGAAAATGGTAGGTAAGACAAATATATACAACGAATTAATATAAGCAAATATATTACGACAATATAAATACAACTCAACATAGTCATTTACTTCCTTATTTTTACTTCTCATTCCAAAACGAACAATCGTTGGTTTTTACTGGATGATATGAAAATAATAGTGGCTGAATGAAATTATATACAGGTATTATGGATCGAAATTCGGTTAGTCAGTTAGAATGACTATAACAAGTTAGTATAATTGACATAACATTACATTCATACAGCAGCTCATACAGACATTACATACAGACACATTCATCATACACGCATTACATTCATCATTCATCATACAAATTATACATACATACATACATTATACACACATACATAAATACACTCATACATAAATACATACATTATACACACATACATAAATACATACAATATATATTTATACGAACTAATATGAACTTGAGCATTGTCTAATACCGGGGGTATCCTTACCAAAATATCCATCGGTTTAGTAACACATTCGCAATGATAATCAGGTAACGGAAATGAAGAAGGAAAAGGGTGAGACAACAAAGTAGGCGAGAAAAAAAGTGAAATGAGAAGAAAGGGCGAGAGAAAAAGTGAGGCGAAAGAAAAAGGAAAGAATGAGGCAAACAAGAGGTCTACGAGATAATCTAAAAACCTTTGATTCATACGGATATAGATAATGGAAAGATGCGGTTTACAGATGTCGCCCAAACCTGCATTTTTTTTTCTGGGATGCAAAACGGTGAAAGAGGGGGGAGGTTTGTTATACAAATTTTTTAAAGGGCAAGTTTGCCTTGGCTATGATATCATACGGTATATGTGTGTATATATGTACCGCACAATAAAAGAGTCATACAATTATAATTAATCGGTAATGTCCCGATGCTTTACCAAATAAGCAAAGTAAAGTACCCGATACTAATCAAAGTGAGGAACCAGAACCAGAACAATATTAGTAATGCTATTAACTTTGCCTTTTGCCCAACCCAAACAAACCTCACCTACCGATCGACGGTCATGTGAATTTCAATAATCTTGTATTGCTACGAGATTATGCAATATCCAATCCAATGGGCAAAGGCCAGATATTCTTAATAGCTTTAATTTATAGCAGGTAGTGCGAATGTGGTCTTTGTGTCCTTGTGTCTCCAAACCTTCTCTCTTTCTCTTTCTCTTTTTTTTTTTTTTTTTTTCTCCTGTTTTCTCTGTTCGCCTCTTATTCCTTTTCTTCTCCTCCTCCTCCCCCCCTTTTTTTCCGTTTCCCACTTTTGTACATAACAAAAAAAAAAAAAAAAAGACTCGTCACCCCAGCCAATTGCTACGTTCTTACTGATCAATTGGACGCCTCGTACAGATGACATCCAGTAGGAAGCGGCAAGTCAAAGGTAAAGATGATAAATCTATAATGTCATACATGTAATTGTACATGCAGTTAAATCATTGCGCATGCATACATACATAATTTCATTGATATTTACATACTTATCACTAACAGATAACACTGGTGATAGGGCGGACATCGGCGAGTGTGATACGGGTATATACGTAACGCATCAATGAATGCAAATTGCCGAATCAGCGGGACCCCGTTGATAGTTAATTACCATAAATAATTAATAAGCCAAGTTTTAAATGCTCCATTCTGCCAAAGACTTTTTCCCCTCTCCCCTCTCCCCTCCCCTCCCCCCTCAAAGGTATGTATCCGTTGCTCATTGTGTAAAATACCTAATTTGGTATATTTACATAAAAGTATTTGATGATAAAAAATGATGTATTATTTATAACTGTTTATACGCAACCCACATGGATTGAAAAAATAAGCTTATACGTATGTATATGCTATTATAAAATGTATATTATCGTTATATACACTATATATACTCATTTATACATGTTAGAGTTTATCCAAATATGCACAAAGCCCTCTTGGGTTTCCGCTTTCACTGTGATATTTCACACGCAGTACATGCTTTTTTTTTTTCCATTCATACGCCACATAACAAAAAATCCCATTGCTTATTCTATTTATGGAAATCACAATAGACAAATTTTGTTTATAGATTAAAAAGAGATCAATGACACACAACGGATAATTACATTTTGATAACGATTGTATGTAATCGAGGAGGGAAAAGAAAAAAAAGAGTGAATGTCAAAAACTGTGGAATGGGAATATCTAATGGCAAACAATAAAAATAAAATGCATACAAACCATTCGTTTCAGAAAATACACAATCATGCGAGCAATCATGCGACCGTCCAGTATTTTATGGTACGTTTGTTTTTAAACCCTAACCTATATATCGAATTATATATATAAATATATACATTTATTCATTTATCACTTAGTTTTCTCGAGAGTAGGACAAATAATGATTGGACAAAGTGCATGTAACATAATGAATGATAAGGGATTGGGAGGGGCGGTTTCTCTTTATCAGATATTGCATATTCATACACAATCGTTCGATTATATTCAATGCATTTCGTGCCACTCGAATGTTTGTTAGATCCTAGTCCCCCTCTCCTCCCCCTCCCCCACACCCTCACCCCCGCACCCTCAATTGTTGTTGAAAAACTCAGAGGTTCGCCCAATTTTTAGTGCTTCTAGATCATTATCCTCCATATTTAGCCAATTCTAGAACCTGATCAATGCATGAAACAATGGGAGAGTATTACGATACGGAAAAATAATAACGACAACATGTTGAATCCGAACAGTTACAAAGCAGAGTATGTAAGCGATTACGTAATGAAATGTAAACTATGGTATATAACAAATAAAACAGTGAATTAAATTTAGCATAACTTCATGATTTTAAAGGGAACATGGTAATTCGGCTGTCTAAAAAGATTGCAAGCACAGATCACTTTTACGAATATCAGAGTTAAATCCTTTTTTTGATTAGTATTAAGAACTTGGTAATTATTGACGTGTGCTAAATGTCGTACTATATTTCATTCGCCCCTATTATTGCATATGACCATGCCATGTTACCCTAAATCACACTCTGAAAATAAACAACCAAGACATTTGCTACTAGTCTGCATTTAATTCATATTTGTGTATACCCAACACATTTCATCAAATACCTAATTTGCCCATTTTTCACATTATTCAATTTCGATAACACACTTTTTCATTTTTACCTGCATTCATACTCGTTTTTAAAAAAGTGTCCACATTGACATATTTGGTAATCGGCACACGAGGTAAAAAGGTAACATTTACAGGAGCCCAGAAGCAAAAAAGCAAAAAGAGAATTGCATTGATCAATAGTACAAGTGAGAGTTTTTAAATCTAATCAAACTATTACTATCCAGTCAATAGTGTAACTCTTGCCTTTCTAATCAAATGGTTTTTTTAATTCGTTCACGAATTCGACATCGTGGGAAGGCCTGTTGTCGATCATTTCAAAGGGATCCTTTCTCAATAGCAAAAAAACCTTCATCCTTACAGTATCAATTTATCTTATCTCTATGACGTCATTCTATGACTGATTCTCGGTAATGCAAACAGTATATTTACGGAATGTATAAATATATAAATGTGATATATTTACTGTAAATAGTTTAATAAAATCTGTTGATGCAAAAGCTGCTTGCTGCTGCTCGCTGTCCGCTGTTATTATTATTATCATGTTGTTGTTATTATTATTGTGTTGTGTCGTTGTTGTTATTATTATTGTTGTTGTGTTGCGTCGTTGTTGTTGCTGTTGCTGTTGCTGTTATTGTGTTGTTGTTATTATTATTATTATATTAATATCCCAGACTTGACAATTACAAATTAGATTGCCCGCCTAATATCGAGTTTTACCGGTTTACATGTTTTATTGGCTACTATTTTTAAGTTTCATTACCCATGAGATATAAATTACTGACATTGTCACCAAACTAGTCATAATACCGTTGATTTATTTCAACTTGTCAATTTAATGAGGTCATAATCAAGAGTCTGTACCATTCCGTTCCCGGTTGCATATGTCTAGCAAAATAAAGCCATTTTTTATTCGTTCGGTGAAAGCGTGACAATCGACTATACAGTAGTTTGTTTCTAAATACTTTACCTTTCCCAGCAGTTTACATACGCAGTCGTTAATGTAATTTCACAGTCAATTAGTCTTCCGTATACTGCTTTCCTTTTAAAATGTTGACGACGTATCAAAGCGTTGGTTACACTCTAGATTTCCAAATCCAATGACGTTATATAACGCAGTACTCGTATTAATATTGCCATTTGTAGCCTTTCAAACATCTTAAAATAACTATAGATCGATCAAAAGTTGCATCTACAATCGAGGCTTGCATACCGATACATGTCACGATATTCATAACCAAATGTTTACAACAAGGGTGCCATTGATTTTTGGTTTGTCCTATTATGACATTAACTATTACATCAGATTATCTAACACAACCGTGCGCAACTTTTAAAAATAAGTAAGAAGAATAGTTGCATATCCATAGCAGCTTGGGTAAGAGTACGAAACTGTCACAGTTTAAGAGATG